AAAAAATTGAATTTCTCTTCATGTTCAGAATTTGAGCAAAGAATAAGAAGTTTCTAGAAACTCTGAAAATGCAGATTTTATGTTTATTAAAAAGATATTCAATCTTCCATATCTCCATTAAAAAAAAAATTAAATACAACACCTGATGACTAATCATTCATGGTAGTACAACAGTTGGATAAATATAAATTTTCACCTGAAGCCCACAGAAACATTTTTATTTGAGCTTTCCTGAGAACTCAGGAATACTGCAAAAATTTTGGACATAACTCTTGAAACCTTTCTGCCCCTCAAGATTTCATTTCAAAAACAAATCACAAAGAAAATCATCAAAATTGAATTTCTCCTGCAGAATTTGATGAAAAATACCTTAAAATAAGACTTGGAAGAATTTTGCTGGACAAGAAAAAAAAAATTTCTCCAACAAGAAACAAACAATTTCATACATGGGTTCAAAGTACTGCATCACACTCATGAAACTGTTCCATTTGCAAACCACAAAAAATGGATTGAACAAAAAATATGCCACAGAATAAAATCTTACATCACTTCAAACCCAGGCATTGAAATAATTTCACAAAAAAATCCCTGCTTGGTAAAAATCTTCCCAAAAAGAAAATCAATCCAAAGATTCACATGAATTGCTCATCAGTCCAAAGATACATAATAAGAAAAAAAATATACATCACAGCTGGAAGATAAGACATGAAAAAAAAAATCAACACAACCCAGACTTCCACAGCCATTTAAATAGTGTGGGCACACACTAAAGCACAGTAATAACAGGGCCCAGCCAGCAAGAGGGCATCAAGGCCACAGTAATAAATTATAGGTCCCCCCTCTTCCCCCTTTTGCTCTGGCATGGAACCAATATGCAAATGATGCTTCCACTACACAAAAAAAAAAAGAAGGAGCCAAAAAAAAGAGGATGTGGAAGGGCCATAAATCCATGATGATGTCACACTTACTTCTCTTGAACAGCAATTGAGTGTAGGTAGCATCTTCTTCATAAATGTAGTTGAAGGCATTCATGTTGAGGACTTCTTGGACTGAGTATCCTGCTACAGTGGATATCCTGAAAAAAAAACACAAAAACAAAACAATTACAAATCAGCAGAGAAGCACATTTGCTTGAAAATGAAATGGCCAAATATAAATTAGCAATATGATGACTTGCAAAAATTTTAAATCAGTCCAAGAACATATATCATAGCATTGAAACCATCTTGGAAAATTAGGTGGAAAAAAATACAGGAGCCTGCAAAATAGAACAAAAATAAAACATGAGCCCACTAACAAGAATATTTAAATTAATTTTCTTAAATGGGGTTTCAAAAATTGATAAATACATGAGCCTCCAACAAATAAAACAACAAATCAGTCCCAAAACAGCTCATGTGACTAAAATTGTCTTTAATTGATATTTCCAAAAAATAATTGACAAACATGTCATCTTGATAAATCAACTATTCAAAAGCAGAATTTATGCCATTGAGATTTTTTCAAAAATGGGGTTTTAAAAAATGAATAAAAATTTGATTGCAAAAAAAGATGAGAATCTGAAAAAATAAAATAAATATGGCAATTCAATCTTCTTTTAAATTGAGTTGCAAATATTAATAAATAAAAACAGGAACCTGCCACACACAAAAATCAGCCCAAAAGCAAAACACATATTGAAATTTTCTTTAAAATGAGATGTGCAAAAAAATGAATAAATGCAGGAGCCAGGGATGATTATGCAGAACAAGAGACATAATATTTTCAGAAAACAACAGCAAAAAAAGAAGAAGAAGAAGGCTGAAGGGAAAAGGGGTTGCACAGCCATGTGTGCATGCAAGAGATGCAATTATGCAAAACTTGTGCAATTCCACCCCCAAGTCTGCACTTGGAATACACACTTCAGCAAGTGTACTTTCAATTAGGGCAAATTGTGTCTGTCTGAATCTCTGTCTGTCTGTCTCTCTCTCTCCCTTTCTCCTCTCAGAGTTGCCAAGTGAGCACACAATCAAGTACTGGCTTATATGCTTCAATTGTTCCTAGAAAAACAACATGCTACATTTTGAGTGCCCCAGAAACTTTCTTATTGTGCTCTTACAGTATTTCCAACTTCTTACATAGGCATCTAAAGTCCAGAAATTAGAACAACACTGAGGAATTTCAAGTGAATCCCAAAAAAATCTCTGGAAATAAGTCTGAGATGTTTTTTTTTTCTCCAATGGCCATCAGCCAGATGTAAGAAGAAATTGATACTTTTCACAATCTATGTTTTATTCCAAAAATTCAAGAAAATTTGGATACTTTGAAAACACAGGAGACATTAATTTTTACTTCCCCTTCAAATTTTGGATGATACATTTCTTTTGGAAAAAATTAGAATCTCACAATTTTCTTCACTCTGTATACACAAAAAAATAAATAAAGTTTACTCATAATAAGTCTTTGATAATATCATATATTTTTTATGCTTTGAAAAACATTGGTTCTTCTGATTGGAAACAGAAGGAATCATCTTTAGAGGTATTTTCAACACAAAAAATTCTAAAAAGCTCTTAAATTTGGCAAACTTCAAAAACAAAATGTTCCTCATGAGATTGAAAAACATAAAATAACCATTTCTTGTTCAAAATGACATGAGATACACTCCTTTCCAGACTAAACAATAAAAAAAAACTAATTCACTGATTTTATTTCTGTGCCAGTGTGAAAATGCATGGGAACCCAGCAGAGAGAGAGAGAGAGAGAGAGAGGACCAAGAGATGGGAACCCCAGAGAAGATCCCAAGGGTGGGGGAGAGGAGAAGAAGAAGAAGAAGACAATGCCCTGGGAAATCAGGGGAAAACAGGCACCCTGAAGCAANCTGAGGCTTTCTTCTCTTTTATTTCAAAATTTTCACAACCATTCCTCCTATTTAATTTCTGGAGAGTGGAAACCTACAAAGTTGGAATGATTATATCAACATTAAAAACAATTTAATGAATAAATAGCAGAGAAAAGAAAAACAAAATTGAAAATGAATTCATGCACAGCCTGAAACAACTCTCCACAGATTTTTTTTTTGGTGTTGAAGAAAAATGAAAAGAGAACAATGATTCATTCACCCTGGAAATAAAAAGATGAATCATATCAAAGAGTATTTTCCCAGCTGAAAAACAGTTTTTCTTGTGACAAAAAAAGTAAAAATTAATTTTCTCATTGACCATTCTTTTCATTTTATTCTGAATGAAAAAATATAAAGCATTTGAGTTCCTGGGATCAGGGAACAGAGGCATATACTGTATCTGGTGAAGATCACCAGGCATTGTTTACAACTCAATTTCCAGATGTGGTAGACCATGACCTTTTTTTATTTTTTTTACTTTCCACAGCAGAGAAGCTTTTTAGAACATTCTCTTGTCATGGGCAATGTTGCCAAGAATTTTCATTCACCTTTAGATGTTTTAAATTGCTACCTGAACTGGTGGTAAATTCATGATTATATTTTCACATCTGATTTTTGGGAACATTTTTTCTGGGAAAATTGTATTTTTCATATGCAGATTTTTCCATTTTTCTTTTATTTTGAATTTCCAGATATAGTGAATCAAAATTATAAATTTTTTGGACAGGAAAGTTTTGAGAATTCTTGTCAAGTCATGAAAATTTGTCTTTTCAGCTATGAATGACATAATATATTTACTGAGATGAAAAGGAATTCAATTTAAAATTCACTGAATTGTAGATATTTCATGTTTTTTTAAAACATTTCCTGTTTAAACTGTTTTACATATCCTTGAATTAATTTTCATTATTTCTCTCCAGCTTCTTGTTCTGTTAAATTAAATTTCTCACTTTATGAATACATTTTTCAAATGATAACAGTTTTAATTTATTAGAAACTGAAGAAATTTCCATTTTCCAGAGAAAAATTTTGAATGAATAAAAGTTTCTTCTCTTACAACAGAATCTATGAGAACATGTTTTCTTTGAACTGTGAGTCATTGAAATTGTCTCAGACTGGGCATGAATTCTTTGAACCATTTTCACCTTTTTTTAAAGAGGCATTGAAGCTTAGAAAGGGACCATGAGTATGAATTTTTGCTTGCTTACAAACATAAAAAGAAAATTGAAAACAGTAGAATCTTGTTACAGAAAAACAAATGGAACCTTGAAAAAATTGGTGCCCATGGGAATCCAAAATTAAAATATATTCTTTGGCATACAGAAAAACAAGGACTTCTAAAAAAAATAAGAAAAGAATATCATTATCAAAAAATTCGTTGTAACGAGGTTTACCCTTTACTAATATTTTTTTAATCATTAAAGCAGGTAGAATCTCTCAACAATGAAATTCAAGGGACGAGAAAAAAAAAATTCGTTTAAAAAAAATCATTATATTCCATTTTATTTTTTCTAATTTTTATTATTATCATTATTATTCAAACCTTTGGTCGATTTCAATCATGGTTCCATCAATGGAATGCCGGGTTCTGTACTGGTCGTGGCTGGCATACATGAGTGGGATATGGTCCTCATAGAAACTCTTGACAGGGCTGACAACTGCCACCAGGGCCCAGTCGTCACTTGCCGACACCGACACCGACACTGACGACGACGTCGACGTGGATGACGAGGAAGATGGCGCTGATGGCGTCGACAAAGGGGTCTTGCCTGATGCTTCCTCGTCTCCACCTTTAGAACAGAAACAAAAAATATTTAGTAAAAGGAAATTTCAAAGAGAAAATTTTTTTTGGAGGCAACAAATGCTAAGAAAAAAATATATTTACAAAGTGCTATTTTTCCTTGGGGGGAAAAAAATGCTGGAGCAGAATTCCAAGATAATCAATGTGATGATTTACATAATGCTAACATTATTTACATTTCACAATACTTTGTCTGAATGCAGCATTTTCAAAAAGTTGAAACTGAAACAATGTCACAATATTGAGTGCAGAATTTTTTTATGTTCACAAACAAAAACATTGTCCACTTGGGACAAGTTCTGCAAATGTGACACATAAGACAAGTCAACAATGGAATTTGAGCTGCAAATATATTGGGCATGCACGCTAACATACACTATAATACCTACAGTTCTCAGAATTATCCTCCCCTCCTCAAAAACGCAGTGCCAGGTACAACCTGGTACTGGTTATGGTGTCAGGACGTGCTTGGCACCGTAGCATCCTCGATGACCATCTTTTTCTATGTGTAGCATCTTTGATGACTACTTTTTCCTGTCACCATTAAAGTGGTAAAACCTTATGAAGGTTTCTAAATGCAAAGACTATATAAGTCACATTCTCATATTCTCTCATTAGATCAGTTGTGTTCAGCTGTGCGTTATCCAAGCCCAAGCTCGTTGAGTTGTTTGCGTTGTTATCCGTTTATTCCTGAAATATACCTTAACCACTTAAACTAGGAATTCCTAATAGGAATCCCGGTCCTGTCCCGGACTGATCAACTTGTTTTATTTATCCAACACTTGACACCAAATTATATTGGAGACTCTGTCCTCAATAAAATATAAAGAAGAAAAAAGAAAACTTGAGCCTTTGAAGTCTCCATAAAAAAAATTCCAGTCATTTTCTCTATTACTGTATTATATTTTTTTCCAAAGTACAGAAAAAATATAAATAAAATCCACAACAGCAACAACAACAAAAAACAACCCCCCACTGACCTGAGGGATGTGAAAACCGAGGTCGGACCCGTCTACTGAAGTTGGATGACACCTTTCTAAAGTAGCCCTTGACCAGCATTGGGACATATCTTCCGGGTTCTGTTCGAGACAAACTCCGTTCTGACATCCGACACTGGAACAACTTGTACACCGGCTCTGTACTTCCTAAGAATTCAAAAAAAAAATTAGAAAATACAAAATTAAAAAGGGGGTTCATCACTTTCATCAAGTATTTTGTCTCTTCTTCAAGTCTTCTTGGATGGACATAATTTACATAGAATATTCTCAGACCCTTTGCAAAACAATGCTCAATTTATTCATTTATTCTCAGCAAAAAAAAAATTGGTTTCATAAAAGTTTGAAAAATTCAAAAATTTCATAAAGATTCCTGCAAAAAAAATTTAAAAAGGGTTCATGACTGCATCAAGTCTTCTGCATTTTCTTCCTCAAGTTTCCTTGGATGAACATACTTTTTCACAGAATATTCCCTGATCCTTTTGAGTATTTCTTAATTTATTCTCAAAAAGCCAAATACTGTATTTGTTTCACATCATGAGGAAAATGAAAGAAATTTATGAATATACCATCCATTATACAAAAAAGGAATTTATTCCAGTCTAATGCCTTTCCTGATGATGGACATAACTTTCACAGAATATAAACAGGTCCTTTATACTATTATAGATCCATGTCCACACAAAAAATTTAAATTGACTGGACAAAGAAGACTTTGAAAATGTGGGGAACTACAGGTTCACAAGCCACAACTCACATGTTCAATGAACCATATTTTTTCCATATCTTTTGGAAAACAAAAAAAATTTCTTGAAGATTAATCCCAAAAGAAGATTAAAAAAGGTTTCATAAATATGAAGTAATATAAATTCTTTTGTTTTTCAATTTTCCTTGGATGGACATAATTTTCACAAAATATTTCTCTGGTCTTTTCTTGATAAATTCTCAATTTCATAATTTTTCTCACATAAAATTTACATTCAAAAATGCCATGGAAATGAGATAAGATAAAGATCCACATGCCATAACTGCATAACTCACATTTTTAATGAATTTTGAAAGTTTTGAAAGATTCACCATCTGGAAAACTAATCCATATGCCACAACTGACATTTTTAATGAATTTTGAAAGTTTTGAAAGATTCATTATCTGTTTCAAATACATATGGAAAACTTTAAAAGTTTCTTTAATCATTTCCCCCCAAAAATGGATTGTCTGGGTCTTCATAATTTTCAATTACAATAATGCTGAATGTGAAACTTATCCTAAAATGCCTACTATAACCTAATCACATCAGATCTGCAATTGAAAAAAAACCTCTCCTATTCATGCAAATGAACCAAAGGAATTTTGCAAAATTTTTACATTTATTTTCAAGAACTATATGACTCAGAAATCTGAGAACTTCTGAAAATTAAATTACAAAAACTGACAAAGCTAAATTGAAACTTCCAAGAAGACAAGTACAAAAACAAAACAAAACCAACTCACCATCTTCTGGCAGTTTGAGGTAAGAATGCACCTTCTCCTGGTCCTTTGGGTGCACTAGGAAGTCTATGGGCTGCCCCATCAGGTCATACTGTAAAAAAAAAAGAAACAAACAGAAATGAAAGTGAAAGCCTTACATATATTGAGTGGCATACCATAAACCCCCCCCCCCTCTGTTTCTTTCCCCAAAAGATAAAAGTTAAAGTACTCCCAAGGAGTGACAGACAGACAGAAAGCACTCCTATTCACAATTTAACAGACCTTCATCCCTTTCACAACACTTGATATTAGGTCAAGAGAGAAAAAAAAAAGAAGGCATGGGACCAGGATAAAAAGGGGGGAAAATAAATGCCAAAGCAGGCTGCTTTTATGGAGATAAATGGGACCCCAGGAAAAGCCCTGCCAAGTTTAGGAATTTAATCTTCCTCCAGACATTGACACACACACATTCATGCATACACACAAAAGATTGTGTCCATGGACTCCCAAGT